AAAGGTGAATAAACGCTAAATTTTTCCACCGGAAGAAGATACACTATGAATTTCTGGAAGACGACGATATTTTGATAATGTCATGTAAACACTTTGATGACTTGATCCCATACAAATCTATTCGGACTCTTAAAAATGTACTTGTTAAGGAGTAATCATAATTATTAAACTTTATTGATTTTTTTTTATGTTAATATGATGACAAAAAGTTATCATATTCGGGTCACACAAATTATCCACTTATTTTTCGAGGCTCAATATTTGGGGTTTAAAAATAATATCTAAACCAGTTTTAAATCCTGATGGGCGTATCATAGTTAATGACACGTCAAAGATTTTACAAGATTGTAAAGATTTAATTAAAAAGTTAAATTGGCTTTGTGTATAGCAATAAACCATTATTGGAATGTACCTCAAGATGAAGCTACTTTATTGGACCATCGATGCAAATTTCTTAATTTGCAGATAATGCAAAAAAAATCAAACAAAAGGATCATTTAGAAGCAATTTATGATGAAAAAAGGCAAGAGTTAGTATAATTCAACAACATCCACCCGTTAATTCACTTCAAAATATATTTGCCAATCGTCATCATCGCGAAAGACAAGATGAAGTTGAAAAATACATGATGATTGAAGAAGTTGACGTAAATACTTGTCCTTTCAAATGGTGAGCATCAAGCGTCAAATTTTCCAATTTTATCACAGCTGGCATTTAGCTATTCCAGCAACCTTCTGCAGCAGCGAATGGTTATTTTCTGATGCTGGAAACGTGATGACAGTTAGGCGTATCAATCTATTACCATCCGAATCTGAATAGTTCAAATATAGTTCATATATATTTGATATGTAATCTTAAATATGTATGGTTAATCATATTTTTCAATAGTTCTAAAAATAATGTTTTATTTACATTGTTTACTTTAATTTTCGTAACAATAATTGTATCATTTTACCACTAACCAATAAAAAATTAGCTTAAACTCAATTTGTTAAATAATCATTTAATTATAATAACCGGATATCCGGATAAATTGATATCCGTATAAAATCGGATGGAAAAGTAAAGTCAGTTACATGTAAGATAAAGAAATATAGCATACTCACTTTGAAATTATTTTATCAGCAAGGTTATATAGTCATTAGAGATTTGAAAATAGTAAATTTATGTTATAAAAAAAAAAGAAAAATGCCAGATTGTTGCACCGTTCATTTTAATCAATGATAATACTTATTGACTTAATTTATATTTAATGATTACGATTAAAACTTTAATAAAAAGACAAGGAAAAATTCTAAAATAAAATCTTTTGAAGTTTACAATTCAAACATAAAAGACAAATATATTTCATGATTATAAAGGGTGTAACTATATAACTATATAGAAAGATAATCGACAGATGCACATTAATTATTTATTGATATTATTTAATCATTTAATTATTTATCGTTCAATAGAAAATAATAAAATATAGTAAAATAATAAATAATACATGATAGTTTAAAGTGTAAGTTCACCTATTAATGCTTGGAATTCTATTGGGTCAATCATAGGTGCAAGTATTTGATCATTGAGCTCATCATAAGAAGAATAATCACTAAATAAAAGACCCAAATTCAAATTTGGATCATAATTCATTATCATAGGACCTCCGCTTGCACCCTCTCCTAATTCTTTAGTCTTTGCGTTATAATAAGCATCATTCTTTGCCCTTGTCACTACTCCTTGCCACGTACAAAGATGTTCTCCATCATTTGGACAACCTACAAGTTCACCTTCATTCGGATAACCGCGAAATGTTGTTTGAATATTGTCTCCTGGTACGAGTTGCCAACCGAGAGCTCCCGTAAAAAATTTTAATGGTTGGCCATTCACGTTAAAATTAAATAACATCATGCCGTAATCAGCTGTATCATCATCATTATTAATAAATCTAAGTGGTACTGCCATCTTGGCGATAGGAACTCTACCAATTGGACCATCTTGATCATTGTCATATCCAGGAGAAAACATTACATTATCAAAATATGAACTAGTATTTTGATGATAAAGACAATGCGCTGCAGAAAATCCAATATTTCCATCATTGGTATTGATTACACTAGCGGTACAAGAATAATCTACACCATTCTTGCTCATAAATAACCTTCCGATGGGAATATTATTAACTTGATCTACATTTGCTTCTACATTTGCTACCTTAGTATTTGCATCATATTTTCTCTCCAAAGGTTGCATAGATTTCGTAACTTTAGAGGAGTCAGTTGTATTTTTTATAGTTTCGTCGCCACTTCTTGTTCTTAATCCAATATTTTTAATTGTTAAGGGTTTAGCATTTTTCATTTTTTCTGGTGTCCAATAATTCTCATCATATTTAGAAATCGTTGGAATTGAATAACTTGAATCGGTTTTGAAGGTTAGCACAACCAATGCAGTTAAGAAATAAAATATAATTTTTTTGTTCATTTTTTTTTAATAAAAGTTAATTAGATAATAAAAAAAAATATTGGAGGATTGGTTTTTGAAAATAGAAGATAATTTTTGGGGGCTTTTTATCTTAAAAAATTATTTGACAATCATCTTTGAAAAGAGATGCTCGCTTCATTCAATTTATGAAATGTTCATATTAAATCGGCCGGATTATAATTAACAATAACAATGTAATAACAGGGATAAATTTTGTGTAATCGTAGCAAAATATTTCGTTCTATTATATAGTTTAAGTAAATTGGTAGAACATTATTTTGTTTTTTTTTACTTACTAACGCTTATAAGATTCTTTTTAAAATTAAGGATCGTTGAATCAATGATAGTGTAATAACGGGGGTGGCTTGTAAGTAAATCATCTGTGAAACTGTGCTTGTGCGATGAAATAATTTCACACAAAAATCGATCCTCCAAAATATTTCCCTTACAATATTTAGCAGAATAGGAAGAAACTTGACGTTATGGACTTACTGAAACAAGATGAAAAGATTATTGAGTTAATGTTTACCGAATCATCACATATCATATGTAGCAAAGCGGATGATGATGTAAAATTATGGAGGGAAACACTGGACGGTGCAAGTTTCGTAAATGCGACCAGGTCGCATGTATAATATATCTGAATGTTCTTGTATCGGTATACCAAGGCTTTCATTTAGATCATGCGGAAATTACACTCATCACGTGTAAAATCCCTTATTCGTTAATTATTAACCTTAAGAAATGTAATGATTGTAAATATACTAATGCAGGCATTAAAACAAGCTAGCTCTCATCCACCCCGAAATGTTAACCCAAGTGCTACTTTTTCTACGCCTCCATATGGGTGGTGTGCTATTAAAATTGAGGTACGGATCATATGATTTACTATGTCTCGTACCTCAATTTTAATAGCATACCACCCATATAATAAATGTACCACTAGCAAATTCTCGAACCTTATATTTAATTATTTTTATATATAATAGAATATTTTCTTTGAAAATTTTCTGAGACCGCGTGGTCCCACAATAATAAGAATAATAGAATTCTCAGAATTTTTCTATCATATATAAAATGACTAATATTTTATGTATTTTATTCGAAGTATCTTAATCAACTCCCTAGATCCATCAAAATAAATTCATGTCGATGTCACACATTGCGAAAATACCATTATCGCTAGAATAGGCATCCTGAAGTGGAGATTTGCTAAATCAAGCAGTCAAAATTATATTAAGAAAAAAGAGCATCTATTACTAGCGAATGTGAAAATTTGATTTGTTAAGAGTTGCTATATGAAGCAAAAAATGGAAAAAAAGATTGAAGACCTTAGTGATTTGCAAGATTAATAATATAAATCATGTGAGCAAGCTATGGTCAAGTCTTTAGAGGAAAGTGATGAAAAAATTACTCAATTAAGCTCTTGGTTACTTTTTTTCAAAGATATAATTCATGATACAAGAAAAGCCATTGCATCAGCTGAAAAGTTTATTGACATATTAGAGAATAAATGCTAACATCTGAAGGATGCTAAGGATAGAAAAATTACCATTCTTATTGATCAGATCTTTTCCAATATGAAGCATAATTGATGTGATTATAGAACCAAAAACTTATTCTAGTAATAGTGAGAGATATTTATGGGTGAAGCAATGTAAAGAGCCTGATTATAACCTAAAGGTTCAGAAAAAATATACATTTTGACCTACTTAGTCACATAGTTTATATCAGTGAAATGTTAATGACCAAAGTTTTCATTAATAAATAGTTAGAATATACAAAGTATTTAATTTTTCAAAGTATAACTTTAAGAAAAAATTCTATTTGCTAAGGAATAGTGTATTTCAGCTTTTTCAAATTCTATATGAATGATTCTATCAAATTAAAAACAATAAACTGTTTTACTGATATATCAGAAAATTTCAAATATTGATTAGCTATAATTTTCAGCAAAAAAAAACAAAAATAATATTTTTAAACTCTACTGACTAACATTAATGTCATTTCTCAACTAATCTGAATATAACAATTCTGTTATAATTTCTTCTTATAGGTTAATTCAATTTCAACATTTTTTTTTTGTCAGAACATTCTTAGTTTAACTAATTTCATATCATACTCATACTAAACTTCATATATTTTCTTAGTTCAGAAGTAATAAAATAAATTTTCTGTATAGAATACATTTGTAAAACTAATAAATCGGCTAATATGATACTGAAATTTCAAGTATTCTTATTCATATATAAGATAAAATTCATAAAATAAGTTAAAACAAGTATTTTTATTATAGATATTATATATGAAATTAAATATAAAAATTTTTATATCAATTATAAGTGATTCATTAATTTATTCTAATCAAATTATTAGACATTTGGATATTTTTAAAAATTGAAAATAATACGATTGGATAGATAATTATCATAATTTTTAATTGATAATTCATGTATTAAATAAAAATATAATAAATTTTCTTTTTATATAATTATTTTAAATATATGTATTAAAGATGGTTCCTATAATTATTTTTAAAATTTTTAACTAGTTGCAACTATTTATAAATTTTTATATTAAAATAAATTTACAAGGAGTTGCAACCCAAGTTGCAACTTCTTAATTATAGTACCCATCTTTAATATGTATCTTACAACGCAATAAATTTAATATATATATTTTTTATTTCTTATTTATTTACTTTATATTTTATATTATAATTAATATAAAATTGAAAAAATAAATATGCTATATATTTATGTTAGGTTAGGAATTGTTTTATGATTTATGTGATTAATTCATTTTGAAATATGAAAATTAATATTTATTTATAATAGTTTAAGAGAGTAGTGGAATATCATCATGTGATATAATTATATCACATGGTGATATTCTACTTATCCTAGATTATAGTATCACTATATAATTTGAATATCACCATATAATCTAAATACTATTATATAATCTAAATATCACTATATAATCTGAATATCACCATATAATCTAAAAGATATGATCTAACTACTACCATATAATCTGAATAATATAATCTAAATATCGCCATATAATCTATTTGTTTTCTTGTGTCAGGTATCTATTTTATATTCTAGCTATTCTTTTAAACCCTTCCTGATATTCATATCATTTATCGCTATATAATCTAACTACCACC